ATGAATTAATTACCCCCTTCCCACTCACATGCTCATGGTGTTATAATCTGTAGAATTATTACAAAAGTAATACACCACTGGCGATTAAGAACAAATGTCTAATATCGGTCTTCATTACAGCATCCTATATTTATCAATATCTGTCAGTAGGTATTTAAAAATCTGAATTTAACACTCCATTCAACAGAGTTAACACAATGAAGGCAAGAGAGAAAGGAATACATAAAACCATTACCAACAAAAGAGAGATAGGTCCTGAACCTACAAACTGCTCTGCATGGAGAGATCTGTGATCTTATGCAGAGCACCACTGAGATCAATCAGACTCCATGCAAGAGCATAGTACTGCTCACACAGAGCATTGTGCGAGATCAGGGCAGCAGTTAATACAATATTGCTGCATACCGCACTGTAAGTGCGTCTGAACATATTCAGGTGGAAGGGCAATCTGTGTTAACCACACAAAGTACCCATATTGCATCAGAATTCACTGCTGGACCATGCCAACAGATCTCAATGAAAATTCAGGGCTCAGTATCTTATTTTTCAAATGTTTACAATAGGGATGTAAGTGACTACTTGAATAGTTGACTACCCAATAAGTACTACTCAACTATTTGCTTTGCCCCCACCTTGCTGCCTATGTATCAGAAGCAGCAGGGAGCCAGATACCTTAAAAACTGACTCTTACTCCATTAAAAAGCAGAGCCACAGCGTTCTAGGACCAGGATGAGTCCCAGCTCGCGCCAGGTCTGAACCTACCCCACTGCGGCTCTGAAGTTTAAATGTAGTAAGAGCCGAGCTGGGGTGCCTACCACATTTAAACTGCAGAGCCACAGCTTACTGAATAATTGTGTTCTTAATACAAATTGTATTCAGTACATGATTAGTCAGTCACCCTCTTCATAACATCCTTAGTTTGCAAATATTTCAAGATCAATCCTGCAAATAGTTAAGTAGTTAAGCATATGAATGAATAAAGGTTCATAAGAATACACCAATTTTTTTTTTTTTGAGAGAGAGAGAGAGCGCGCGCTAGCTTAAAGCCAAAAGAAATTATAAATCAGAGCAAAAATAGATACATAATGCTTTGTTTCTGAAATGCATATATTTTACCTTAGAACACACCGTTGATACGAGATGAACATGTTTAAAAACATTAATAAGCCACATTGAACAAAGAATGAATTTTTAGCTTCCACAGATCTTGACTTTACTCTTCTTACCAGTCATGATTTTTTATAAGAAAGCAGTACATTTTCCCTACTTTTAAGATTTTTTTAAAACTAGAAAATATAATCATGCTTACTTGATTTAAGTAGTTTTGACACTGAATTGATTTTTGGAGTGTTTTTTGACATTCCCCAAGTGACTGAATACACATCTCTGAAAAACAAAGAAAGAAAAGCATTGGTAATGTGATTTTACATTGTTTTTTGTTACCAGTTTAAGTTTGAAACTCCTTGGACTAGATTCTGATGTAAAATAAACTGATGTAAAACTGCAGTAATTCTACAGAACTCTAATACCATTATGCACTGTTTACTAGTCACAAATCTATATTAGCATTGTACAAGACAGAAAGGGCTTGCATATACTGGAAGGTTATGTTACATCATGGTGGAATGCAATTTTATGTATTCAGATAAAGGATAAAAAGAACCTGTTGCATTTAACATTGTCACGTGAACCCTTGCATACACAGATGCTAAACCATGTTTTAGTTATCCCAGTTCTTCAAGATTGCATTTCTGCTCAATGTAACTTCCCAGTGTAAACTGCTCAAAGATGGCAAAATTCTTCCAGATTTACAGTAATGTGTCAGAATCTGGCAACTTATTCTAGATATATAAAATAATTTCAAGGACACTGAATGTCTAAAACAGTAAAAGAGTAAGACACATTCTAGCCGACAACTGCAAAGATTACATTCTCAAACACAGAATCATAGAGCGGAACGAGACCTCAGGAGGTCATCAAGTCCAGCCCCCTGACCAAGGCAGGAACAATCCCAACTAAATCAACCCAGCCAGGGCTTTGTCAAGCCAAGACTTAAAAACCTGTAGGATAGAGATTCTACCACCTACCTAGGTAACCCATTCCAGTGCTTCACCACCTTTCTAATGAAATAGTTTTTCCTAATATCCAACCTAGACCTCTCCCTCTGTAACTTGAGACCATTGCTCCTTGTTCTGCCATCCATCACTACTGTGAACAGCCTCTTTCCATCCTCTTTGGATCCTCCCTTCATGAAGTGGAAGTCTGCTATCAAATCCTCCCTCACTCTTCTCTTCTGCAGGTTCTTATGTTCTCCCTTCAGGAAGTTGAAAGCTGCTATCAAATCTCCCCTCACTCTTCTCTTCTGCAGACTAAACAAACCCAAATCCCTCAGCCTCTCCTCATAGGTCATGTGCTCCAGCTGCCCTCCGCTGGACCCTCTCCATCCTTTTTATAGTGGGAGGCCCAGAACTGGATACAATACTCTACATGTGGCCTCACCAGAGCCGAATAAAGGGGAATAATCATTTCTCTGGATCTGCTAGCAGTGCTCCTCCTAATGCACCCTAATATGCCATTAGCCCTCTTGGCTACAAGGGCACACTGTTGACTCATATCCAGAGTCTCATCCACTGTAATCCCCAGCTTCTTTTCTGCAGAACTGATACTTAGCCAGTCGGTCCCCAGCCTGTAATAATGCTCGGGATTCTTCCCTCCCAAGTGCAGGACTCTACACTTGTCCTTGTTGAACCTTGTCAGATTTCTTTAGCTCAATCCTCGTATCTGTCCAGGTCACTCTGGACCCTATTCCTGCCCTCCAGCATATCTACCTCTCCCCCTATCTTAGTGTCACTTGTGAACTTGCTGAGGGTGCAATCCATCCCCTCATCCAAGTCATTAATAAAGATGTTGAACAAAACCGGTCCTAGGACAGATCCTTGGAAACTGGCCGCCAACCCGACATCGAGCCGTTCATTACTATCCATTGGGCCCGACAGTCTAGCCAGCTTTCAATCCATTTTACAGTCCATTTATCCAATCCATATTCCCTTAACTTACTGGCAAGAATATTGTGGGAGACCATATCAAAAGCCTTGTTAAAGTCAAGGTATATCACATCCACTGACTTTCTCATATCCACAAAGCCAGTAGCATCTCAGACCTCTTGGCAATTCAAATGGGGCACTGCGGGTGCCTTTGTAAGGACCGAATGAAGAAAAGAACAAAACAGAGGTAGAGTTACTGGCCAGAAAAATTGCAAGTAGGACAGTTTTGAATTCTAAAACATCATCTGATTTAAAAAAAAACAAAAATCTGATGTCAATTTTTTTTCTTGCAAGTGAGAGAAAGAAAAAGGTGGGTTCAAAGTGCCACACTAAAAAAAAAAAAAGTAAACTGTGGAATTGGCATGTAGGCCAGGCTTCATGGGCATGCTATTATTTCTTCTGTTTGTTTTGCAGCAGTCACTAACTCCTAGCAATTGCAGGGCTAACTCCGCAGGGGTGGGGAACCTACAGACCAGCTCGTGTTTCTGTGACCCAGAAAGGGTCCCCCTCTTCCGCACCACCCAGACACAGAGCAAGGCACCCAGAGGCGAAGACGAGAGGTGGAAGGAAGATTATTACGTATTTTCTACACTGGAAACTGAGGTGCAGGAAGATCAAGGTCACCCAATCAAGCTGCGGCAGAGTTGGGGGTTCGCCGGGCCCAGCCACGGACCCCGCGCCACCTGGACTCCGGGGCTCAGCAGGGGCTATGACTGAGGGGAGGAAGGCAGGGTTGGGGTGCCCACCCCCAGCTGCGTGCGGCAGCCTCTCTTACCCAGAGCGCGGTTAGTCGCGTCCAGCCTCCGCAGCACAGAGCGCAGCTCCTTCGCCTTCAGATTCCCCGCCTGAACCGGGAAGGGAGCCGCCATCTTGTTGCACGGAGCCCACAGCCGCGCTCAGGCCCGACGCCGCCTCGATGCCGCCATCTTGTTGTACGGACTGCGCCTGACGGAAATCCCGGAGGGTGCAGTCCAGCCCAGGCGTTGCTCCGCCCGTTGCGGCGGTTCCGGCGCGCGCTCTTCGTTCCGTTCCTGGGGAGGAAGGGAGGGGTGTCGCGCGGGCGGCTCCTCAGGAGCAGCCTCCGGAAGCCGCTCGCCGGGCGGGAGGGAGCCCGGAACCGGCTGAAGCGGCCTCGGGAGGTAAAAGGGGAGCGAGCGGGTGCTGAGGGGACCCCGGGTGGGAGCGGCTCCCGCCTCACCGGGTGGGGGAAGGGGCGCTTTGTAAAACCCAGAGGTGGGGTTCCCGCCCGACGGCGCGTCGCAGGCCCTAGGCGGGTGAGGGGCGACACAGCCGCTAGGCAAAGGCTGCGTCGACCCCGCCCTGTCAGCCCACGTGAATGCGGTTTGCCTTGGCTGACCCAATACTTCCTCGCACACCCCACTATGGCTACGGTACCCGCTTTGTCCACAGAACTTACCCCTGGGCCCCCCCCGGAGTGTGTTCACACTGGCCCCCTCTATCAACAGGGCATGTCCGTGTAACCATCACCAGGTGGATTTGAACCTCTAGTGGCTGAGTATAGGAGCCCCTACCCTCTGAGGTAAAAGCCCCCTGGCTCCCAGCCCTTGCTGTAGAGGGCTCTTGATTTCAACTGTTGCTGTGGTCTAGGTACCACTTGCATTGCTCACTAACCACACACGGGCGACGTCTACACTGGCACGATTTTCCGGAAATGCTTAAAACGGAACAGTTTTCCGTTATAAGTATTTCCAGAAAAAGCGCGTCTACATTGGCAGGATGCTTTTCCGGAAAAGCACTTTTTCCGGAAAAGCGTCTGTGCCAATCTAGACGTGCTTTTCCGCAAAAAAGCCCCGATTGTCATTTTCGCGATCGGGGCTCTTTTGCAGAAAAGAAATCTGTGCTGTCTACACTGGCCCTTTTCCAGAAAAGCACTGATGATTTTACAGTAGATCGTCAGTGCTTTTCCGGAAATTCAAGGGGCCAGTGTAGACAACTGGCAAGTTATTCCAGAAAAGCGGCTGATTTTCTGGAATAAGTGGCCAGTGTAGACACAGCCTAGTTGTGTGGGTTACATCCACAGTGGGGGCACCAACACGGCCAGTGTGGGCAATGCACTGTGCGTATGTTGCCTGCCCTGTGCTTGGGGGAAGGCAGAGCTGAGCCCTGCACATCCATGGGATTCCCACTGAGTTATCCGCCATAGCTCTGTGCGCTCCCTGTGGAGGAATGTCAAAGCAGCACAGCATCTGTCCCCTTCTTTTCCTCTGAAGCAGCTGACTGCCTGCTGCTGTGTTTCTAGTGTAGGGCAGACCAGGAGCATTCCAGTGATTTGCTTTTTCTTCCCCAAATGTGTGGCAGCACACTGAGGTGTCAGATGCTTCCTGGAGCTTTCAAACAGAGGGGTGCAAGGCTGCAGGGCAGCAAAGATAAAAAAAACACTGAGCACCGCCATTGGGCTGGCATTGTGGCATAGTGGTGGAAGACAGTGCTGTGGACAAAACAGCCAGGCTACGCGGGCTCTTTGATAACAATAAAAGGGGGAAAGAAAAATAATCTCTGGTAGGGTTGGAAGTGTTTTGTTGCGAAAGCTGGGCATTTTTCACAACAAAAGTTGCATTGTAGTGTGAACATTCTCACAGGGCCAAAAGGCAATTTTTGGTGACAAAATATGGTCATATAGACATACCCCAACAAGCAGGTTTTGGTTTGTTGTCTGGGTGCTATCCTGCCAACAAAGCAGCATTCATGCCTGCACTTGCCTCCACAAAAATTTGTTTGCAGTGGAGGAGAGAGAGGGTTACTCCCAAGGAGGCTTCGCTGCAGACTCTGCAGCCAACTCCCAGGTAGCCAGTGTATATCCTATGACATGGGAACTGGGCCCCATAGGGTTGGAACAGCCTTTGCCTGGAGTAGGTGGGAAGTTGCTCCAATCACTACCAGTTAACAGGTGAGACTTACCAATTCTGGATAACCAATAATAGTTAAGCCTAAACCATTAAGGGCGAAGCATCTCAGTTAACCATTTACATCCAGTCCCCGGTAGTTGCTGATTGCCATCTGGGAGAGAGTTCTCTTGTTAGCTGGATCTGCAGAAGAGCCTCTTCTCCAGACATAGCACTGGCCCCACTGGCATTTTTGTTGGCAAACCTTATATTGGTTGGGGGTTGTTTCTTTCACACCCGTGACAGACAAAAAGTGCTAGCATAGCTGAAGTCTTGGTGTCATCCCCAGCTCTCCACACTATTCCACTGAATGAGTTGCATTGGCTGACTTAATAGGTATGCATTAGGGATGTAAAATCCCCTTTAATTGGTTAACCTGTTAAACATATTGTTTAACTGGTTAACTAATTAAAGGGAGGGTGGGAGGGGGGCTGCTCCAGCCTTGCCCCACCACTCGCCACTGGGCTGGAGAACCTCTTCCCCCCACTGCAGGCAGGGGCTGCTCCAGTCCGAACAGAGCAGCTCCTGTCTCTTTGTATCACACACACGCACCTCCACTGCAATGGGGGGCCCACGGTGGGCAGGGGCTGACCTGGACCATCACTGCAGGGCTAGAGAACCCCCTTACTTGCAACAGGTGGGAAGCTGCTCCAGCTCCCACCAGTTAACTTTAACCACGTACTGGTTAATTGGTTAAACATTCACATCTCCAGTATGCATGCTTAGATATCTGGATACACAGGTGTTGTGAAGGTTGTGTCCCAACAGATAAAAAAGCCTGCAAATCCTGTATAGACTTAAGTATTTGTGTAGGCTTAGGTGCATGATTAGGCTTGTGGACTTCAGTGGGAATGTGCATAATCCTACAGTATGCTGAAATCATTGCAGGATTGGTACTTTGGAAGCATATTGGCTAGTGATAAGAGATATTTACAAGTCAGTATATAGGTGAAATATATACAATACTTTGACAGGTATAGTGGTTTAGTAGGGAATAAGTAAATATATGAAGGGTACATCACAGCCGGTGATGATATACACATACAAATATGTAGAAATGAATACTTGATAAATCAATACAGTACACTGATAAAGCTTTAGTTACATGGATGTGGATATAGAATTGTTATGCAAATTTATTCAATTTATAAATTTGTAGCATTTCTGTAGTACAATGTAGTTTTGTAGTGAATGTAATTGAATTATTTCATACACACCTGTGTAATAGGGATGTTAGATGGTGTTTAAGTGAATAATCACCACATTTTAGCAGTTATATGACTTTTTGATATTCCCCCATGAGCAGGGCTGGCAGCCAGTGTATCAGAGGCAGCAGAGTGGGGTGGCAGGTGGGAGCCAATCCATGAGGGGAGCCAGTTTAAAAACTGCCTCCCCACGCAGACCAGCTCCTGCCCTGCGGCCCATGTCTCTGGGAGCCTGAGCTCCAGTGGACAGAGCCTGCGCCTGCATCCCGTGGTGCAGCCTCCGTCCACAGAGAGCCTGGATTTAAGCCAGCACTCCACTGGCACAGGCTCCCATCTCTCCTCCCCCAGGGAGGGGTGAGTACATATAGTCAATAATATTAACCAATAAGCCTAGGCTTAATTGTATAGTCGACCACACATTGTCATCCCTACTGTATAACATCAGAATATGGCCTAATTAATGGAAACTTATAACTCTCTTGCTTATTTGGCTATTAGTTAGTATATTAGTAATTGTTATTCTCAAGTATGGCCTTTTTGTTGGTTTCTATTCACCTTTTAGGGCTTTGTCTACACTGTCTACACTTTGTCTTGCACAAAAGTGTGTCCATACCACAAAAGCGCATTGCAAAAGCAATGTGCTTTTGCACAAGAAAGCGTCCACACTGCACGGACACTCTTGTGTAAGAACGTTCTGATTACCATTCACAAAATGGCTGTCAGAGCACCTGTGCTTTTTGTGAGAGGCTCTTTTTGCACAAGACACCCCTGTTGGGCATCTGCACACACCTTTTTGCGCAAGAACTCTTGTGCAAAAAGGAGTTATTCCTCGTGGGAAGAGGAATAACTCTACCGGCAAAAGCCCTCTGTCCTGTCTATTTACTGGTTTTTTTGGGGGGGTTTTTTGCGCAAAAACGCGCTTGAGGTGTGGACGTTCCGCGGGTTTTTGCACAAAAACCCTGTAGTGTAGACATAGCCTAGAAGAATAAAGGGATGCGATTTAGTCCTGCAGTTATTAGTGCATGGTGTAGCCAGTCTTCTAAAATTAAAGCACATTACAAATATCTTAGAATTGCTAAATATGTGGAGATGTTAAAATGAAGTGAAACTTATATTCAATTATGCAGTTTTGTCATGCATTTTTTTAACCTACAGGTAAATTTGGTCAAATAAAGTAGCGCCAAAGGAAAAAAGATGCTCACGGAAAATGTGACCAAGGAAACTGTCCTTATTACAGGAGGAGGTGGTTACTTTGGTTTCCGGTTAGTGCATAAAATATTAACTTTATTTTACATTAAATATAATAAACACTTTATGGTGCAGATCTTAGTGAAGTGGGTCTCTAAAAATGGTATCACAGGGCTCTGTGTTTCTTCTCTCTTAAGCTACGTCTATATTGCGACTGCTCCTTCTTGCACAAAATGGTGGCTCATTAGGTATGCAAATGAGGTACGGCGATATTCATCACCGTGCCTCCTTTGCATATCTTCTTGCGCCAGAATGAGCAATGTAGATGTACCCTTTGCGATTCCAGTACCTCAACTACAATACTACAAAGTCAGGGGGTTGCACCTTGCTTGCTCTTATAGGGTATGTCTAGATTACATGCCTCTGTCGCCAGAGGCATGTAGATTAGGCTACCAGACATAGGAAAATGAAGCGGCGATTTAAATAATCGCCGCTTCATTTAAATTTACATGACTGCCGCGCTGAGCCGACAAACAGCTGATTAGCTGTTTGTCGGCTCAGTGTGATAGTCTGGACGCTCGGGTGGATAGTCTGGACGCGCAGGTGGCGACATCAAAGGTATTTGTCGGCCACCCAGGTATACCTCATCCCAGGAGGCATACCTGGGTGGTCGACAAATACCTTTGATGTCGCCACCTGCGCGTCCAGACTATCGCACTGAGCCGACAAACAGCTGATCAGCTGTTTGTCGGCTCAGCGCGGCAGCCATGTAAATTTAAATGAAGCGGCGATTATTTAAATCGCCGCTTCATTTTCCTATGTCTGGTAGCCTAATCTACATGCCTCTGGTGACAGAGGCATGTAGTCTAGACGTACCCATAGTGAAAGACTACATCCAATTCACCAACCGCAATAGGAGTACCTGATTTATCGGGTTAAAGCTGTCAAAAGTGATCACCATGTGATGGGACCACATTATTCCCTTGTGTACTATTGGCTATGAAGGTGTTGTACTTTAATCACCCCAGAATAGGTAACACTGATTCTTTGGATATGTCTACACTTAAATCAGTGCAGCTAAAGCACTTCCATGTTGACATTTCCTATAGAAACAGGAGAGGTTCTCCCATAACCAGGGCTTGACAAATGGCGGCGAAATCCGCTCGCCAGCCTTGCACTGCGCATGCGCAAGACCCGCATTGCGCATGCCTGTGCCACCGGTGAACAGGGCAACCAGCTAAAATCTCCTCGCCCTGGGCAAGCAGATTCAATGCTTTGTCGAGCCCTGCCCATAACTGTAATTATTCCACCTTCCCAAGAGGCATTGATCTAACACCATCTACACAAGGGGTGAAGTCAGCATACCTATGTCTCTTAGGGGATGTGGAAGCAGAGATACAGTGACGTAAGTATTCGATGTAGACCAGCCCTCTGACCAGCAAGAATTCAGCACTGAAAGTGTTTACAAGTTTCTTCTACCCACAGGTGAAATGTTTCATGCACTGTTATGCTGTGTATAGTAGTAATATATGGTCCCTGTCATGTTTTAGTTTAGGTTGTGTCCTATACAAAAAGGGAGTTGACGTGATTCTCTTTGATGTCCTGAAGCCGGTCCAAGCTGTGCCAGAGGGAGTGAAGTTCATACAGGGGAATGTCTGCTGTCTCTCTGAAGTGGAAAAAGCTCTCAGAGATGTAATCTGTGTATTTCATATTGCTTCCTATGGAATGTCAGGGAGGGAGCAACTGAACCGAAAACTTATAGAAGACGTTAATGTGAGAGGAACAGAAAATATTATCTTGGCTTGCAAGAAAGCAGGAGTGTCAAGTCTGGTTTATACAAGTACATACAATGTAGTCTTTGGGGGGCAAGTTATAGAAAATGGGGACGAATCTCTGCCTTATCTTCCACTTCATCTTCATCCCGATCACTACTCCAGGACCAAGTCTTTAGCTGAAATGAAAGTGCTGCAGGCAAATGGCACAGAGCTTGAAGAAGGGAAAGGTGTGTTAAGGACCTGTGCTCTCCGACCAGCTGGAATCTATGGGCCCGGAGAGCAAAGGCATCTTCCAAGAATAGTTAGCTATATTGAGAGGGGCTTGTTTAAATTTGTATATGGAGACCCTCTGAGTTTAGTGGAATTTGTCCACGTAGATAACCTAATTCAAGCTCATATCCTTGCTTCAGAAGCACTCAAAGCCACCAAACGGCACATAGCTGCTGGCCACGCTTATTTCATTTCAGACGGTAGGCCAGTAAACAACTTTGAATTTTTCCGGCCTTTAGTTGAAGGCTTGGGTTACAAATTCCCAACTGTTCGTCTTCCTCTGTCCTTTGTATATTTTTCTGCATTCCTAATTGAAATGATCCATTTTCTTGTAGGCCATCTTTATAATTTTCAGCCTCTCCTCACTCGCACTGAGGTTTACAAAACAGGCGTCACACATTATTTCAGCATGGAAAAGGCCAGGAAAGAGCTAGGATACAAACCTAAGCCATTTAATCTGAGAGAAGTAGTTGAATGGTTTAAGTCCCAAGGACATGGAAAAAAACTCAGAATCTATACTGTAAAACATCTGATTAGGGATGGAGGGTTGATCTTGCTGTTGGTCGCAGTGGTGCTCTCGTGGTTTCCAGCAGCAGTATCATTCTCTGTTTGAAAGATGTTGAACACAGACTTCAGCCTCTTTTTATAGGGTGGTAAAATATGCAAACTACTTGAAAATTAGATCTCATTGAGTTCTCTGAAAAAGTGCATATATGATCACTGTTGAAAATAATTTTCAATTTCAAAAGTTTTGGCATTCCAAAACTATGTTGTAATACGTGCCAAACATTTAGCATTTGTAGGAAATATGTTTTTCAAATCTGCTGAAGAGACTGTTCAATTTAAATTAATTAACAATATTACTGTTTTATAACAAAAGTATGTATACATTTATAATATGCACTGTACATTAAAGTGAGGTTATGCTCTAAAATAATGCCATTGCAGGCTTCCTCATGACTCAGGGACTTCCGTATCAAAGGAGAGGTTTTCTTTTTAACTGAATGTTAAGCTTCTTTCTTATCACAAGAAATAAAAGTTCTGTGGCCAAATTGGACCCTCAGGGACATCTGCAATCCCATTGTATTTTAGTTAGGCGATTAGTGCTTTCAGCAGTTTTTGTGGGTATAGCTGATTGGAAATGGGTGATGCTGATTTGATATGTGATACATAAAAACAGAATCCAGCTCCCATGTTTTGAGGATTGGAGCAAAGGACTGAACAATCCATTTGTGTTATGAGGCTAAATAGGTGAGATCAGTGAATACACGAACAGGATGGAACTGCTGATTACAAATGTGTGCAATCCCTTCTCAAAATACAATTACGTTTACCAGGGAGTCATACACAGGGACTGTGAATATGATTGCAAATGGGATATTGTTTTCCGTTATAGCAGCATGCTGCAAAGTGTATAACAAATTGTGTTAATTGGCCTTTTTCACATTGAGGATTATGTGCATGATCTTTCCTACTAATTATTTCTTTTGAAGTGCACATTATGTGGTCCAGAGGAATTACTGTACCCCTACCCAAAGGAATTATATTCTGAAAAGATCATAAATTGTCCACTCCTATCCTTTGATACAGACAGACCTGATAAAAAATGAGCTGTGATCTAAGACAGAGGAATATACTTGAAGCAGGGGAGGACAATAAGTGACCTGAGGCTGGATGGGCTTCACTAGTTAAAGCATCTGGCAACCCACCAGAAGCTGTTTACCTATGTTATCAGGAACAGCTGCTCGCAACTCCCCTTAGTGACAAATTGCTGTTCCCAGCCAATGGGAGCTGAAGGAAGCAGAGTCCTATTCTGTGCTGCTTCCTTCAGCTCCCATTGGCTAGAAACAGTGATCCGCAGCCACTGGGAGTTGCAAACGGCTGTACCTGTAGATGCACAAGTAAATAAGGCATCTAGTGGCCTCTTGTCGGGCCTGTGGGCCACTTATTGCCCATCCCTTACCTAAAGCTATTTCATGTGTAAATTTACACATGGAATTTTTCCATTAGGATTAACATTAGAAAAGTTAAGGTCTGTCCAAGTGGTAAATCCTTACACATCAGTCAGTTGTGTTATACTAGATCAGATCTACTGCTGATCTTGTTTCATTGTGACAAAGGCAACCATCTACTCTAATAGCCTTTATGGTCACAGGAACAGTGAATTAGGTAGTGTGACAGGCTCATCGACTGCCCTGATTATTGGATTGTCTGAAAACAAGTTTGGAAACACAAACCACTAGCTGGTGTCAAGATCTTGCTTAGCAGTTTGTACCACATAGGTTAATTTTGGTAATCTCATGATTTGGTACATTGGCGATAAACAGAAAGCAAGCATGTTGTTAACTTGAAAATCCCTCAGTTTTAACCCTTACAAATAGTCTTCAGGTCTTGCAGCTCTAATAAGAGTTTGATGATTTGCAAACTAACACTGGTGCAGTCACATTTTCATTCAGAGCCAAATTCATCTCTGGTATTGAATTATGTGGAGTAATGTTACAGATGAATTTGACTTGGTGGATTTGCAATTAACCAGTTAGTATTCTTACACAGGACAAAAACTAAAAAAGGAACTAAAAGGGGTGCTTTTATGAGTTAACTGTATTAGATGTGTAATGTCTTATTCTGGATGCGTATGTCTACACTACAGTGTTATTTTGGAATAGCTTATTTTGAAATAACGCATCTACACACAAAATGCAGTTCGAAATAGCACGTCCACACTGAGTGGACTCTGAAATGCATTTATGGCTGGCTGGAACCAGTTCCAACAGAGCACCAGGTCAGGACTTACTGTGTGGGGCTGCTGCTTGAGGCTATCTGAGGTCTGTGCTTAAAGGGACCCTACCCACGTCCCCCCGGACAGCCAGTTCCTTGCTTGCTTGTCTACCTCGATGAGGGACAACAAAGCATTTTGTCTCTGCTTGCTCTGATTGCCCTCACTCGGGACACCACAGTACTTTGCAACATGGAGCCAGAGCTGCCCCTGAGCACTCTGGTGCTTCTCTTGGATGTGTTGCTGTGAGCCTGACTGCACTTTCTGCAGGCTGCCATCCAGGAGGTCCATCGGGGGGCTGTCAGTATCCAGGAGGCCCTGTGGGAGAGCTTCCACCCTGAGGAGCACTAAGCCTCGCTGGTCTCCCCCCCCTAGGGGCTTGTGCCTCATTCTTCTCTCACATCCTTCCACTTACCCCTCCCTATCCCCCCTTCCTGAATTAAAATAAAATGCACATATTTTCATGAACACAATCTCTTTATTTAACAAAACTGGAGGGGAGGAAATGAAACTCTGGTGAGACTGGGGAAAGGAGGTGGGAGAGGGGAAAAGAGAGGGTAGGAAAGGGGAAACCTGGGAGGAGAGAGCTGGAAGGGGGAAGCTGCAAGAGGAAGAAGGGGGAGGGGAAGCTCAGGGCTGGGGGTCTTGCCGGACCAACTTGTTTGTCATGGAAACCTGCTCCTGGGTTCGCATGTGGCCTGTGGTGGCCAGGCTAGCAGCTATCCCGCCCTAGATGGGCCATAGATGGCCGTGTTCCTCCATCTAGTGTGGAGATCATGGATGTTGGGGGCATTCCCCCCAAACCTGAATAAGGTCCATGAGCTCCGCCCTGGACCAGGAAGGCGCCTGCCTTCTCTGAGCCCTGGCAGGCTCCTGGGAGCTGGCAGACTGCTCCTGGGGAGCGGTGGAGGGTTGGCTGCCAGTGGCTTGCTGGCTCATGCTTTGGGGCCACTGGGTCAGGGGTACTATGGCCAGAGTCTATCCCTTTAAGGGCTCTAGGGAGGGAGAGAGGAAGAGAAGTGTTCTTGGTTGAGGCTGGAGTGGCCACCAGGTCACCTTGGGAAGGTTGGAGGCTCCCTATTTTGAAATAAGTATCTACACGGCACTTATTTCGAAATAGCTATTTCAAATTTGGCGTTATTCCTCGTAGAATGAGGTTTACCAAATTCTAAATAAGTGCTTCGCTATTTCGAATTTATTTCAAAATAGCGGTTTGGCTGTGTAGACATACTCAATCACATTCTGGACCACATTTATATTGTGTAGCAATTATTTTTACCAAGTGCTTGAAGCAGCTCAGCTGTATAGATTTTATCCAACTATAAAAAATGCTTATTTAAAATGAACAAGTTGGTTGAAGTGTTAAGAAAATTATCTTTACTTATTCTTTAGCAGCTGACAACCTCAGTATTAACCAACAGTTAAACACCATTCCATCAACTGCCTTCAACTAACTTATTTTTGTGTTCTATTGTTTTTCAAGCTTTTAAAAAAAGTATTACAATCATTTCCTTAACATGTAGTATCACCCCAAAGGGACTTAATGGTTTTATGAGACACTATGAACATTTTATATTATGAAACCTGGATTTCCACTCAGAGCAGCACTTCTGAGTAGACTATTTTTCAGTTTACTACCCAAGGGAAATACTGACACATTCCAACAGTCACAATTTTCAGAACAATTTTGTTCCTGTCCTTTATGTTGAAAAGTCAAATTCACACTTGGCTTTGTAGCTAAATTTTAAATAATCTCCAGTTTTAAAATTGGAGACCTTAATTCTGATGTTTAAAAGAAATTCCCCAGCAATTTCATTTCTGTTACCACCCAGCTCTATCCTGACAGCCCCAGTTCCTTCTGCCTGGACCACAGAGTTCTACATAAGCTCAGGAATTTTAAGGAGAAGGAGGGTGGCTAGCATGAATACACAGAGACAACTCTTGAACAACAACAATTATAGTCTATAACCTCTCTTCTTCAAGAACCAATGCCCTACTTGGAGATGGTGGCTGACTTCTTAGGTAAATATGGGTTAGAGCACTGCTCTTCCAAACTGGGCATGCAAAGAGCAGCATATAGTGAAAGTGTGCATCAAAGTTGCTCCTTTGCTTATCTCCGCCCAGGGCACCCACCTAAGTCTGGCCACTGAGACTTGATAAGTCCCATGGAATGGGTGCTGGTTTCCCAGCTAAGATGCAACAATGTTCTATACATCTCCTAGTCCATGATCACCATGGTAGAAGACAGCACTGATGCCAGAGTAGTGAAGTAAGTCATACCCTGTATTTGAGGACCTTGGCTCAAAGCCTCTGAGGCAGACAGTGAAAATCTGTGTGTTTATAATGCTTCAATGACAACTTTGCTGGGAACCTCAGGGAGAGGAGCCAACATCTTGAGTGGAAAGTTTAAGCCGTGACATTATTTCTGAGGGGTAAAAGACCTGGATGCCTAGATAAAAATTATGTGCAGCACTGGATCACTTGTAGCAGTTACTTATAAGAGCAGGTCTGAATCACTTCAACTAGATTATTTGCAAAAGTAAGGGCTCTGGGATCTGGTCCAGACTCTTAGTCCAGGATGAGCAGAACAATGAGGAAGATAGTATTTTCCTACGGTGAGGCAAAATGCACACAAATCAAACCAATAAACCACCAGAAGCATAGTGGTGCCTCCAGGAGCCTCTCTCCAATGTCTGACCAGCTTACGGTGCTCAGCTAGACACTGGAGAACTGTGCAGAAGTAAGCAGCATACAAGAGGAATCATTCACTGCTTGCCCACGGAACTCGTCGCTAGCCACTACTCCCTGCAGGTGGAAAGACATGGATCCATGGAATGGCAGATCCTTTAGCTCCCTTCCCCAGCCCATTTTCCTGACAGCCTGCACAGGCAGGAAACACGCCTTCCTAGCCCCCCAAAATAGCCTGCTCATCCATTCCCACAATGAGTTAGCTGTTCATGAGTAATATGGCAAAAATGATGCTGACCTCCTTTTGTACAGCACTTTAAAATGCACCATATAAACTAGCCCATATTAGGTCAGCATGTTCTATAGTCAATAATTGTATAGTCAATAATTCTTCTGTGTTCCAGCTCTTCTTAGTAAATAGAGCAAAGGACTGGTGATAGAAAAGAGAGACACCCTGTTGTTTTCACTTTTCAAAATAAGAAACCTGCAGCTTTTAAATGTTCCCCAAGATCAGCTGCAGGTGTTCCATTTCAAATGTTTTATGACAATCCTTCATATAATCCAGATTTTTTCCTTGTGCAACCAAGTAAAGATAATTAAGGTTATTATTTAACTCACATGATGTTATGCCACAATGTTTCCAAACTGTAGTACATTATTTGTGTTCCCCAGCTGAATTACCAGAAGTACAGCTAGAAATTGAAAAAGAGTCTATTGACATTTTAGAAGTGATACAATTAAAATTAACACACTACTAGAGATTAATTGAGAATTTGGGCAGTTATTTAACCTGTCACAGAAGTAACAGGTATCAATGTAAGTTCAGTGTCAATATGGGACACGCACACAACTTAAATACGCACACAGTTTAAATACACACACTTTTAATGCACATATATACTTATTTATTTAAAAAAATAAATTAAACTTCAATTACCTCCACCCCATTTCCCAGAGAATCGAGTGGGTTTTTACGGACTCTGCTTCTAAAAACAACACAAAACAAAATTTTCCTTCAAAATTGTTCATTAATTTCTAATTACTGAAAAAGTCCCCATATTTTCAACAACACGCTAGATCATTTAATCTAACAATATAACATGATCCCCAAGGAAGATTTTCTAAGCATTGGTGGTTTACACACATGGCAGAAATCCTTCTCTCTAGTAGCCCTGGGAGGTGTGTTTGATACCAAGGATTAAGAGCCCAATCCAGAAAAGCACTTCCATTAAATCCATTGGATAACTCATGCTTTAGTTAAGTGTACACTTGGGACCTAAGAATGTTGATTAGAACTAAACAGAAATAGAGTTGGAACTCATCAAAATCAAACTAACAACCTAGGTTGCACATGGAGCAAGTCTGCACTGAATCTAAACCCAAAATTTCAAGCCCAAGTTATGGTTGGTCTGAGTTCCAGCCCAAGCTGCAGCCTCTACAGCTATTTATAGGAAACTAATGTGGGGCTGTGGACCGGGGCTGGAAAGGTTGGACCCAGATGCTATGTAGACATGCCCATAAACACTAGTTACATAGGAGAAGAAAATCTTGGCTCTTGATTGACTAAAATAGTCATGTGATAAGACTCAGTTTCTGAGGAGGTAAACAATATTCCAGTCTGGACAACCCATTGAGATCATACGTGGAAATACTTACATCCTGACTCGATTCACTGATGTCAATAAAAATCTCCTCTCAACTCATGCTACAGACAGAGACCACTGCCTCTTGATTGATTCCAGTGTATTCAATAATGGTTTTTTCTGGATCTCTCTATTCAGCTCTCATTTGCAATGTTAGTTAAAAGAAACTACAACATTAAAATCATGGCCAAAATGAAGACATTTCTAGGTGTGTCTGAGGAAAACATTCAGAATGTATGTACATTTTCAGCTAGCCTCAACCTGGCCTCTAATTTGGCACATACTCTATTCATAGAATTCAAGGCCAGCAGAGGCCATTAAAATAATCTAGTCTGAACTCCTGCATCACCCAGGCTACAGTGATTCCTGCACCACACCCAACAAGATGTAGCTGAACAAAAACTGATCTGTTGGAAGGACTTCCAGCCTTGACTGAAGGACCCCAAGTGACAGAAAATTTACATGAACAGTGGTGTGTGCTCATACAAAGGGGCATTTGTCTGTGTAATTAAGGGAATTGCACTGCAGAAATTTGTTCCCTTGTTTAATGTTTTGGGGTGAACATCAGGATTACCATCCTTCCACGTAGATACAGACTTCACCTCTTGGGTAAACAACATCAGACATATCTCTATCAACAGTATCAAAGTCATGAGAGAAATGCCATGTCTTTATGGAATAACTAAAACCGCAAGGGTGTTCCTTGAACTATCATCTGTGAATGCATAGTGGAATCAATTAAATTAATCTTGAGACAGTATATAAGGAAAAGTGGTGGCATGGAGAGCAAGTGACTCTGAAAACCGCTGAGGCAGTTCACTGTACGATGAATTCTGAACTAAAGTAGGCTTTCAATGATGAGAGATACAGCATTCCCTATGTATCACTTTAAGCTTTGGGCAATTACTTACAAGAAAATAATCTCTTCTGTGCTTATTAAATGCACATTCAAACATAACAGTGCAAAACTCCACTAACATCAAGATAATCTAGTTGTTTCTTATTAATGAATAATGTGCTGCTAACAAGAAGAATCAACGCATATAAAAATTAAGATGTCTGGTCTTTGACACATTATCCAAAGACTGTTCTGCTCTTCTGAGAAACAAATTTTCTGATCTAATAGGGTTTTTTCCCTATCTATATCTTCTTTTGTATATATATCTTCTATGTTCCTACTGTCTCTGTCTGTATTTCTGCACAGTCATGTTAGGGATTAAATATATTTTGGGAAAACAGACTACATTAAAAAAACAAAGCACTGTTTGACATTATCTTGTAAGAAAGTCTGCTAGATTACAGGTGGATAATTTGCAAACAATTCATTTGTATGCAGATTAGCAGCTGGAAGGACTTGAGAAAGGATGTTACACCAAAGTAAATTTAAACACCTTTCCTTTCTAGGAGCAAAGGATAGCTTCTACCTTATGTATTAAAATATTTTCTTTCACTGCCTTGATGGAGCTGATTTACATGACACAAAATAATATCATATTTCTCTTTTCAAAGTTTTTCACATAATCCAACAAATAAACCATCTACAGTCTTGGAATAAATTTGGGTTTTGAAAATTAACTCATTCACTGGTATTAAAAATGTAACAAGAAACATCTATCAGAAGAAAATATAGCATCAACCATCTGTTGCCGAGAATATTTTATATGTGTGGAATACAATCTGCTGTATCTGATGTCACAATCATCTCATAAAAGTGCTTTCACAGCATTTAATAAATTAAACCGATTATCTTTCACTCACAAAGAGTCAGACTATTAAGTTGTGGGCGTGCAAATGGTTGTGAATGCCTGACTTGTGTCCTGTGCACACAAATACTGTAGATATTTTGTAACTGTACTTTCGGTATTTTAAAGGGTAAGTTAAGCCTGCACAAATGCATGCAAGTTGTCTGCACACCACGTAACTTTGAAACACTGACCCTTAGTTTCCTATTTACTCTATGGTTTATGATACCAAATGTAAAGAAGAACTAGAATCTCCAGAAAATCTAGCCTGCACTCTGTGTATAGTTTGTTCAGATGATAAATTAAACAACAATGAAACAAGTTCCTCTTATAACAAGAAAATACCAAGGAAATCCATCTTCCCTCTTCTTAGTAAATTCAGCCTGATGAGACTTTCATCGAGTTGAATGACCAGGGTAAATTAATGTCTCTTCCTGAGTGCCTTCTATAAAGGTGCAGCACAGGGAATAGCTTCTCTAGGAATAGAATTTGCTGTTACTGACTTTCTTCTCCTTCAATCTTCAGGAAAAAAGAAAATTAAAGTCAACAACTTGTGCTAGGTATTCTGAGGGGAAATATAAAAGTAAATTCACTTAACATTGTACAGCAACTAGAGTAACAGCAACTCTGTGTTAAAATGTGAACTCAGTAAAAACATAAATGTATGCAGAGCCCTGCAAAGATACAAAATTTTTATCCACAGCCATATCCACAAAAATGAGCTGCAGATACCCATAGATATCTGTGGATATGGATACCCACAGATATCTGCGTATTGCAGGATTCTAGATATATGGCCCTTCATATGTTCAAAGCTTTGTATACACACCAATAAAGGGCCAAAAAAACATGGACATTCCCACAAAAATGCACACACGAACTACTTTCACAGCACTCTATTTGCAGGAACTTGTAGGAACATCCATTTTCCCTCCATCTTTAAATATTTGGTCCCCAAATATCCCAATTTCCTCACAGTTTGTTACAAGATAAGCATTTCTTGGAGTTTGCTTATAATTATAACAACATATACTTAAAGCACCTTCCATTCAGGGATCTCAAACACACACAACACCCCAAGTATCATCTGTACCTCGGAACACAGAGAGATACTAATACACAGAAGTTATGTAGACTTATGGATAGAGTTCATGAATGTCAACTCCCAGTCCTTTGCTTCTACCACTAGCTCGTAATATTTGCTCAGCTACTTACCCTTAGCTACACCACAGACTCACAATGTGATAGGGAAATGGCAAGCTAGGTCTTCCCTAGTTGAAGGCCAAAAGTGCCTTGCTCCTACTGGACAATCAGCCTGGCTCTGCACTGAGCTGTGGCATTGGTCACTTCTCTGGTTCTAAAGAGACCTGAAAGACTGGCATCTGTTTGGCTGGGAGGAAAGGATTTGATCCCTCTCCTCGCTTTAGGCTAAGGGGTGAGCGTAGATCAATTCAGGATCTCCTCCTACTACAGAAAAGTCCTGTCTCTCTGTACCTAGCCATGACCTGCGGAAAGGCTTAAGGTAAAGGGTCTTTTTCCTTAGGATAGAGTTTGGGTGTTTAACTGGAAATTCCACCTTGTCGCATTTTCATTTGTATTTAGATCAAACCAGAACTATGAGGTTTGACCCCAGGGCAAGGTGGGGTGGATGATGGCCCACACCCCCAGAAGAGGTGGGGGCCAAGGGCAGTCAGTCCTTAGCACTGCCTGGGCTACAGCGCTGCTTCCCCCCAGCCATGTGCCAGAGCAGGAGACAGGCTGTGGTGCAGCCCCAGAACTGTTCTGGTCCCACATGTTCTATCTGTTTAACAATGTAGTCTTTATGGTGAGCACTTTATCTGGCTGTTTAATCTGGATGGTAGGGAAGGGTCTAAGCTGCAAAGATTGTGGCATTCAGGGTGTCGTGGGGAACAAAGATTTATTGATGTGTGCTGCTGGAGTCTGGTTCAGTGGCAGCTCAAACTCACTGGAAGGAAGTGTGGCTTCTGGTTCAAGTCAAATGAACTAGAAAGTATAAACCTGATGTCTTTGTGCCATACTGGACCCCTTAAATATGAGAATTATTTTGGGGATTCCCCAGGGAAGATAAAGAGGATTAAACCTACCTCCTGTTGCATGTCTCTTGGTACAGTTGTAATTGGTTCTCATTCACACTGAATTCTTTTAGTAAAGCATCTCTGTTAGGGTTCCTTAAGTTCTGATGGGTGTCATACAAGAACAGCTGGTTGTTCAGTTCTGCTTGGCGCTTCCGAAGCTGCCGACACGATGAATAAAGCTCTTCTTCGCTTTCCTTCAAGAGGAAAAGAACACCAGAAATCAATTCAATGTCTTACACAAGCTATTCTTCCTAGATTTTTTTCTAAGAGGTGGTTTGTAAATTCATTTTTATAACACACATCTGAGGAAAAAAAACCAGAAAAAAATTGAAAAAAAAGATGACAAAAATTAGCTTTGTGATCATCACTGTGATCAGCGAGAAATAAATAAATTACAGAGAAAGCATTCCATCGAGTTTTTACATATACTGAAGAAAGAAGGGGAGGAGGCTAGTGTAACGACTGCAGTTATCTTCTAACAGTCTTAAAACACTGGAATGAAATTCTTATTTTCAGGGTTACATCTGATATGCAAACACCACCAAGGACGGGGCTTACTACTAAGTCACATTGCTTTCAGTGGAGTTTCTTATTATATTGCAAAGAAAAGGTCAGATCCTGCAAACAAGAAGTATTAAATGGGACCATCTGTGGGAAGGGCAGATCCTTCACTGGTGTAAACTGTCATAGCTGCAGTGAAGTGAACAGAGCTATGACAGGTTATACAGACAGTCCCCAGGTTACGTACAAGATAGGGACTGTAGGTTTGTTCTTAAGTTGAATCTGTATGTAAGTCGGAACTGGCGTCAGCCGCTGCTGAAACTGATCAGTTTCAACCCCGGCTGAATCTGGATGCCAGTTCTGACTTACATACAGATTCAACTTAAGAAACCCAGGCGTCCCCAAGTCAGCTGCTGCTGAAACTGATCAGCGGCTGATTCCAGGAAGCCTGGGGCACAGCAACTCTGCCTCGGGCTTCCTGTAGTCAGCCGCTGGTCAGTTTCCGCAGCGGGTTGCCTTGGGGGGG